TTCAAGTCTGACCATTATAACTTTACATCGTAATGTTTTTGAGGTCCAATCGGATGTATTTGATCTGAGGTCCGTCTACAGACTGGTTCTGGTCAAAACAATCTCACTTTCAATCGTTGTGTTTTTGTGGCCCGGTCCGATGTACTTGATCTAAGTTACCTCCACGGATTGCTCCTAGTCAGAAGAATCTAACGTTTATCATTGTCGACAAGACAAATGGCGACGCTGAGGGACGTGATTGCACGCACAACTAGATCGTGGGCGACGCTGCGGAATGTAAAAGCATGTACAACAAGATCATGGGCGACTCGGACGTGATTCTGGGCGATCACCGCAATTATACGCAAGTGCCCGTTTCATGCGCCTATGTGCGAGCAGATCCAGCGCCAACACGTTTTTTGATGCTGCCACGGTCAAAGAGCCATCGTAGTGTGTAGCGGTCTATGTACTAGTCTCAACAATGTCGTGCAGGACGACACGCTCGCCCAATGGAACCTACAACGTGCGCGCGATATGCAGCATCGCATGGCTTTGCTGTGTGTTACGATTGGACTCGCTGGACCAGAAGGATGTCCCTATCACGCTGGCATTCAAGTCATGGCCAACACTCATCACCAAGATGGCACGGCCTTGGCTTCCACCGTAGTGGCTTTGACCAAGACAAGATTATCAACTTACTGACTACGCACGGCCGTTCGCAGCTCTACTTGAATAGCGGTGAAGGTATCCATCGGGATGCCAACAAGCTCTCGGAGGAGTGTCGTCATCGCAAGCAGGCGGTCACCGTCAATGGAGTGCCAAAGAATATTGACAACAATGTGGATGCTCTCGACCAAATTTTCGGCTTGGAAGCGGCTGTCGAGGAGGCGCAGTGCGCCATTCGTTCTGCCAGTAAAGAGGCTCGTTGCTTACCTACTGGTATTGGTGTCGCCAAGCTCGGTATCGGTGTCGCCAAGCTCGGTATCGGTGTCGCCAAGCTCGGTATAGGTGTCGCCAAGCTCGGTATCGGTGTCGCCAAGCTCGGTATCGGTGTCGCCAAGCTCGGTATCGGCGTCGTCGAGCTTATGATACGGAGCTCCGATTTCACTGCTGCTCACGCATCGCTCTAGTGGTGACGGGATCCATGTCTGAACCCAGAGATTCGCCGCTGCCTAGCCAAACTAATCATGTGGTTAGAGAAGCGGGGATACGACGTCGTCGTTGTCGCCGAGAGTGCCGGCGAAGCGCTGCTGAGGTCGTCAGTGAAAGCTGAGGCCGTTGGCAAGAAGAAGCTACCGCTTATCAGTGCATTTCAGAAGGATCGCATCCAGACGCACTTTGCAGAAAAGAGAAAGGATTGCGGTGATGACGAACGTGACCTCGAACGTGTCGCCGAAGGTATAGCTCAAACACTAGCGGATCGTGGCAGGCAACTGCTTGCTACGATCCGCTAGTGTTTTAAGCTATAGTGCCATGGTTTTCGACGCCGAACTGATGTCGGTGATTTACAAAAAGTATGGTTTAGTGGAAAAATTATTTTTCATATCAGATTGTTAAGTTGTGAACAGCATGTGATTTTGCATTTATGCGTACCTACATCTACTTTTCCACTAGACTTTCGCGCCTTTATTCAAACGCACTAACATACATCGCAATTACGCAGCACCGATATGGCAGCTGTCAAAAACGCTAGGCATTCTCGCACGTATCGTGGAGCTCGAGGATACCCTGCGTATAATTCGCATCCATCGCTCTACTGAACCCGCTGCATCGCAGGATAGGAGTTTGGTGCTAATTGGTCCGCATGCATAACGGACACACCTTCTCGAGATTCTTAACCGGATGACCGAAGGTGTTAACAGGTTTCAACGAAATTCTGACCCTGCAGAGCGACCGAGAATAATCACGACTAACAACGTAAAATTGGGAAATAGTATGAATAATGGAAGGAAATGCTTATCGAGACAAGAAACAGGGTGGACAAGATATACAGCATGTTCATGGAGATAATTCGTGCAGAACAGACGGAACATGTCGAGGTAACAAAGAATTGATTGAGAAGAACAAATTGTTGATCGAGACGCACCATATTGAACGAATAAAACTCATCGAGACAGGCGACAGTTGAATTAATAAAATAAGTTGAAAACTGGACGGTTTGAAAGACGCGCATATCCAGACGTCCGACAGACAATTTATTGTACGACAGCTAACGAGTACGTAACCTAAGCCAGTCTCCAAGGATATTGGAAGCGCGCTCGTGGCCACGGAAATGGCTGGAGGTGTTTTCGATGTTCATTTTATAGCCAATCAGCGATGACGTGTATCGAAGACTGTCGCGATTGTCATATAAGATGGTGCGCGAGAGTTGCTGAAATTTCGCCTTGTTGGAAATGGAATCGCCTTAAGATCCAATTTTGTTCGCGAGGCCAATCGGCATTTGGTTAAAGCCTTTGGCGGACGAGCGGGAAGCACTTAGTCACTTCCGTCTGCTAGTTCAAATGTAGCACAATTGTATAGTTTTTTTTGAATTGGAAGAGAAAGATACCGTTCTTAGGTTCCGGGATTAAAAATATAAAAGTGCGAGTCGTTACCGACTTCGGCCTCGAACCTTTTGAAGCCATTATCCAATACCTGATTGATGCATATTATATCGACGACCTCGTGAATGATCATGATTACTTGGGAATGAAGGGTGTCTTGCGCGACGGTAAAATGTATTACAATTAATGTATCTGTAGATGCTAAAAACCACTTCAATCGATTCAAAGCATTTTTTATTCAACGAGTTTGTTTACTATATTATGGACCAACACTTTCACGAACTAATTCATATTATAAAATGTACTTGTTATTGTAGGCGGCTTGTTGCCTGCCACGATCCGCTAGTGTTTGAGCTATACTACCTTCGGCGACACGTTCGAGGTCACGTTCGTCATCACCGCAATCCTTTCTCTTTTCTGCAAAGTGCGTCTGGATGCGATCCTTCTGAAATGCACTGATAAGCGGTAGCTTCTTCTTGCCAACGGCCTCAGCTTTCACTGACGACCTCAGCAGCGCTTCGCCGGCACTCTCGGCGACAACGACGACGTCGTATCCCCGCTTCTCTAACCACATGATTAGTTTGGCTAGGCAGCGGCGAATCTCTGGGTTCAGACATGGATCCCGTCACCACTAGAGCGATGCGTGAGCAGCAGTGAAATCGGAGCTCCGTATCATAAGCTCGACGACGCCGATACCGAGCTTGGCGACACCGATACCGAGCTTGGCGACACCGATACCGAGCTTGGCGACACCTATACCGAGCTTGGCGACACCGATACCGAGCTTGGCGACACCGATACCGAGCTTGGCGACACCAATACCAGTAGGTAAGCAACGAGCCTCTTTACTGGCAGAACGAATGGCGCACTGCGCCTCCTCGACAGCCGCTTCCAAGCCGAAAATTTGGTCGAGAGCATCCACATTGTTGTCAATATTCTTTGGCACTCCATTGACGGTGACCGCCTGCTTGCGATGACGACACTCCTCCGAGAGCTTGTTGGCATCCCGATGGATACCTTCACCGCTATTCAAGTAGAGCTGCGAACGGCCGTGCGTAGTCAGTAAGTTGATAATCTTGTCTTGGTCAAAGCCACTACGGTGGAAGCCAAGGCCGTGCCATCTTGGTGATGAGTGTTGGCCATGACTTGAATGCCAGCGTGATAGGGACATCCTTCTGGTCCAGCGAGTCCAATCGTAACACACAGCAAAGCCATGCGATGCTGCATATCGCGCGCACGTTGTAGGTTCCATTGGGCGAGCGTGTCGTCCTGCACGACATTGTTGAGACTAGTACATAGACCGCTACACACTACGATGGCTCTTTGACCGTGGCAGCATCAGAAAACGTGTTGGCGCTGGATCTGCTCGCACATAGGCGCATGAAACGGGCACTTGCGTATAATTGCGGTGATCGCCCAGAATCACGTCCGAGTCGCCCATGATCTTGTTGTACGTGCTTTTACATCCCGCAGCGTCGCCCCGTGACGTCGAGAATACGCAACTTTGTTTTTTGTCAACCCAATGTCCAACCACTTATCTGGGTAGGGCGAGCTTTCTTACAATCTTTGTAGAAAGACGAAATGCTTAAGAGCGGTATCTGCAGTTGTTAGCAAGAGATGTTGCGGCGATGTGTGTATGGTATATATTGTTTATATGAAGTTGTCGCAGGTTTAATATGTTTGAGAGTTTTACATAACGAAAACAGCGATATGTCTCAGTCGTGTAATAAGGGAGTTACCACGGTGGTTACCGCGGGTTCGAGCCTCGGTTTGGGCAAGTATGTGAAAGGTACAGATTATACCAGTCTGGATAAGCGGATGTTTTACGACAGATACCTTACAAGAAGTAATTACTCGATAGTAGGACTAAAATTCAAGTAAGAGAAAGAACAGGTATCATCGGTGGCTGAGAGCCATCGGCTTCTGACAGTCATTGGTTTCTAATTGCAAAACCCTAAAGAATGAAACTTACTTTTCATTTAACAATCCCGGTGAAAAGCCATCTGCATCTGATCAAGAACGCTCAAACAACCTTCGCTCCTAAAAGGTTAGGAGCTCAACTAGGGACTTCGGTTTCATGATGGAGCCGTTTGATTGCTCCAACTACGGGCTGTAGAGTTTTAAGGTGCAGATGTTATCAGTGTCAGAACTGATGATGGAGCGCTATCTCCGGTGAAGAAAGCGGTGTCATCTACAAAGGAGCCCCAAGCGCACGCAGCGATCGTCTTAAACTCGGCGGACTCGCAGCTACTACACGTGATCGGAGCGGAGAAGGCAAGGGCTGCGTGGGGCAAGCTGGCGAGTTTCCTTTATACACAAGGTTTGATGAATCGCCTCTGGCTTAAGAAGAAGGTTGCTCCATTCAAGTATACCGCGTCAAGCATAAGAGCTGACATCGCGCAGCTTGAAGAGCTCGTGCTGAATAAGAAGAGTGCAAACTGCGGGCCAAGTGAAGAAGACACCTGCGCGGTAATGCCGCGTATTCTGCCGCCAAGCTGCGAAAGTTTGGTGCAGGCGGTTCGCATGACAGTGACCAGTTTCAAATTTATTGAACTAGTCAGCAAGCTGATTGCTGAAGAAGTTTGTCAGGGTCAGTTGTCTCGGGTAGCACATGCAAAAGCTCTCTACATACAAAAAGAAGGGCGGAAAAAAATGGCAAAAGAAATAGTAAGGTCGGCGGTCGAATAAAACGGTAGGGTCATGCTTTAATTGACGCAAGACTGGTCACTATGCAAGAGACTGCCGCTCAAGCCTAAATCAAGGGGATTGGTCACGATCAATCAAACGTCGCATTAACCGCCAGTGAAGTTTCATCAAGCGACAAATGGGTTATGGACAGCGGGGCTTCAGCACATATGTGTAAAGACCGTGGTGCGTTCAAAGACTACAATGAGATTATAATGTGAAATATGCTACGCGGTATCCGCGTAGCATATCAAGAACAAAATGCAGCGCGAAGCTTCAGGTTCTCAAAACCGGAGTGGTCAAGCTGCGTGTTTGACTGGACGAAAATTAATTTGTTTTCGTCTTGAAGACACGCTACACGTTTAAGATCTGACCAATAATTTGTTTTTGCTTGCAGATGCAGCGTCACGCAAGATGAAGGTGGAAATCACACAAAATGAGTGTGTGATCAAGCGCAATGGTGTGCCAGTTGCTACACGATAAAAGAATGAGTCCTGTCTCTATCTCAATGTGAACCCTGAAGATGAAGGAATTCATGTTACCCAGGATGACATTGAGCTGTGGCTTTGAAGACTCGGTCACGCGTCCTATGGCGTGGTGAACGCAATGGTCAAGGACGGCAGACTATCTGGTGTGAAGATAGAGTCTGATGCTGAGTGCGATGTGTGGGCGACAGCTAAACAAGTGCGAAAGACGTTTAAGGCAAGCGATGAAGACTACGAAGAGACGGAAAGTGTGCGTTCCGACGAAGTAGTGTGCTCGGGCGTTTTTGGGCCGATTTTACCTTTGTCGAAATCAGGTTTTAAATACATCGTGACGTTTATCACGACGAAAAATCGGTTTGTCCAGATCTACCCGCTGCAAAAGAAGAATGATGTGCTATTGGCGTTTGAGCATTATGTTTAAGATATTAAGATGTCGTCTGGAACGACACCAAGGTGCTAAGGAGCGAGAATAAAGGAGAGTATCGGAACGCTTGTATGGACCGCTTCTGCAGGTTAAAGTTTATTAAACAAGAATACACGGTTCCATACAATCCTGAGCAGAATGGGATGGCAGAGAGAATTGACCTAATCCTCGTTGAGATGACGCGCTGTATGTTGAAAGACAGCCCCTCGACAAGACATACTGGTGCGATGCAATGATGACATCCGAAGACATTCAAAATGTTTTGCCGAAGTCTTCTTACAAGAGTTCAAGCCCATTTGAGATGGTATTCAAGAAGGAGCCGCAAAAAATCACATGCGTTTGTTTGGATAACCGTGTTACGCACACATTTCAAGAAAACAGCGTCAGAAGCTCGATGCCATTGGAGTAAAGTTTTACTTCCTGGGATACGAGAAGAATCACAAGGCATACCGACTTCTAAATGCGAACGATGAACCAATCGTCATTTTGAGAAGCAAGACGTTTTAAAACATCTAAAAATGAAGACTCCGAAGAATCAAGATCAGAAGATCTTCGAAATTGATGAAGACGGAGACACAATGACTTTAGGTTTTGATGAAGTGGAGATGAGGGTCCTTCAAATGAAGATGTGATCCATACACCGCCTATGCGAGCGCAACAGGCGCCAGACCAAGATGGACAAGAACGACTGAGCATCGCTATTTCAACTCTAATCTCAAGCACTCCTGGACGAGATGGTGAAGATGAATGGATGGTGCGGTTGATTCGAAATAATCGATGAGTTACGCGATAGGAACTAGAGTTCACGAACATCACTCACGGTCTTTAAAATCTGGACGGCTACGAGGAAGATTACGACTCTCTTACTGCTTCGCTGATGAAGAAGATGGAGAGAAAGCGGCTGCCTACAATGAAGTGATGACAAGCAGATGCAATAGCGAATGGATGCGCGCTATAAAGAGCGAAATTTAGTCGCTTCAAGAACACAAAACATGGAAACTCGTGGAAATGCCACCAGGAAAGAAGGCAGTCGGTTGTAAATGGGTTTACAAGATCAAGCGCAATCCAAGTGACAAGATTGTCACGTTTAATGCGCGTTTGGTTTCGAACGGCTTTACTCAGCAAACAGGCGTCGACTACACCGGCACCTTTGCCCCTGTAACACGGAATGAATCGATTAATACAGTGCTGGCGATCGCGGCTGCTGAAGACTTGGAAGGAAAAAATGCGAATGTGGATACTGCGTTTCTGTATGGTGAAGTCGACAAATAGATCTACATGGATCGACCCGATAGATTTGAAGACGAAAACTAGTCACCGAAGAAGTGCCTGCTACAGAAGGCATTGTACGGAACCAATCAAGCGTTACGGCAGTGGAATACCAAGCTAAACGAGCATCTTAAAGCCCAATATTTCAAGAAAACTGCTGTTGATCCTTATGTTTTTCTTCGAGTATCAAGTATGGAAAACAGCATCATCGTCAAATACGCGGACGATGTGATGATGTTTAGCAAGACAAAGGCAAACATTGTATACATCAAGATTGGTCTGAAAAGGGACTTAAGCATCAAGGAGCTTGGTGACCTTAATTACTGCCTTGGTATCGATATCCGTCGCAAGCACAATGAGAAGACTATATTGACGAACCAGTAGGCGTACATTCAAATTCTTGCGGAGAAGTTTGGAGTTTAGAACTGTAAGGATGTTCACACGCCTGCGGAAACCAGTTCGAAGCTGGTCAAGATACCCGACGGTGAGGTGTTTGTGCCAAAGTTTCCCTACCGTGAGCTGGTCGGTGCACTGATGTACATCGCTACATGCACGTGACCGGATATCGCGCATGCAAATGGCGAAGTTGCCAAATTTTGTAGGAGATACGGAAATTTCGTATTGAGCTCTCGCTAAGGGAATTCTTTAGTACCTCAAGACGACCCAAGACCTCAGCATTATGTTTTGCGTCAACAGCAAGGGAGAGCTTTTTGGGTTTTGCCGATGCGAATTGTGCAGGTGATGTAGACACTCGGGACTCTACAACATTCTATGTCTTACTTTTGAACATCGGTAGAGTTTCGTGGAATCCCAAGCAACACCAACAGGGGCAACATCAAACTCAGAAGCATACTATTTGAGTTTGTACAGCGCATCTCAGGAAGTTACCTGGCTAAGGTTGCTTCTCAAGGACCTGGACTACACCAATCAAGCGGCAACCATAATCTTTCAAAAAAATCAAGGATGCATAGCACTGGCAAGGAACCCGATATATCCAGCATGGACTTAATACATCGATATCAATTTCCACTTCTTACGCGAAACGATGCTGGAGGAGGTCATTGCACTGAATTACAAGTTGACCGAAGCGATGGTTGCAGACAAAATCACAAAGACACTTTTGAAGAACAAGCACTGCAAGTTTCTCGCAACATTAAACCTGTTGGTTTAGGCATGCACACTTCGCAGACACATCAACGGAGAGGGTTAGCAAGAGATGTTGCGGCGATGTGTGTATGGTATATTGTATATATGAAGTTGTCGCAGGTTTAATATGTTTGAGAGTTTTACATAACGAAAACAGCGATA